CTTCATTTGGTTTCCAGGGATGGCAGCTCTTCCTTAACTGAATAAACAGCTGTTCCCCCCAATATACTAACGGAGACCACAGCAAGTTTAACATAAATAGAGCTGCTAAGCAATCCTGATTCTGAATGACCTGTTCTATGCGTTGTGACACTGTGCCAAAAAGTAAGTTTGGTGGCCAAAGAGGGGATTTAACAGCAGGAAAGCGATGAGCTCCAAGAAGCACGGGTGCTAGGGCAGAGAGGAAGCAGTGAGCTGACAGCTCTTTGTATCTTGGCTAGAGAATGGGAAAGCCAGCTGGACCACAGTGACCGCAGGGACAGTGGCAGCGATCCGATGCCATGGTCAGCTCACTGCCGGCTGGGTACTTGCTCTTGCCAGGGATAGGGGACCTAGGGGCATAGGATCCAGAGGGAAGGGACCCAGGGGCTGCCGCTGCGGGATCCAGCCCGGCCGGGGGATGCCGTGTCCGGTTCCAGGCTGCTTGGATGCAGTGCTCTGTAGCACAGCAGAGAGCGGAGAGCCGCCCGTCCATCTCAGCCTCTCCTCGCCCCGGGCCGGTGGGGGGACAAGGGAGGACCCCGTGGGACATCGCGGAGGGCAGGGCAGGGCAGGGTAGGGCAGGGGTCCCCCCTCTCCCTCTGTCCCTCACTCACCTGCCGGCCGGGCGCAGCGCGGGCCCCCAGGAGCGCGGCTGCCACTAGCCACAGGGGCAGGAGCACCATCCCGAGGCGGCCGCCCGCGCCCCGGCCCCGGCCGCGCTCCGCCCGCTCCCTCCTCCTGCCGCTGCCTTGCCTGCCTCCGGCGGCGGCTCCCGGGGCCGGGGCCGGCTGGGCGGGCGGAGAGGCGGCGGGGCCCCCGCGCCGCCTGTTGCTGTGCGCCCGCCGCGACCCGCGGCGCTGATAAACCCGCGGCGGCTCCGCCTCCGGCCGAGCCGGCGCTCCACGTCAGGCACGGCCCGGCCCGCCGGGGAACCGCCGGGGAACCCGCCCGGCTCCGCGCACGGACACGCCGAGGCAAAATCCTATCGCTGTGCTCACGCTGCATCCTCGGCGGTCCCCGCCCTTGCTCCGTGCGCCTGAAATCCACCGAGAAACAACTTTCCTGGCTGGCCGGCCGGCCGGCCATCCATCCATCCCACCCACCATCGCTGCCTGCATCACACCCTGGCAGGGACTCCCAGAGCAGCTCCCCAGCCCGGGACCACATCCTCAAGCTCCCGTATTTCCCTTTAACCCAAGGCAGACTGCAACAGCTACAGTCTTAAAATCCCAGAATGGTTTAAGTTGGAAGGGACATTAAAGCTCATCTCGTTCCATGGGGGCCACTGGACTGGGCTGCTTCAAGGCCCAACAAACCAGGCCCTGAACACTTCCAGGGATGGGGCAGCTTCCCCGGGCAGCCTGTGCCAGGGCCCCAGCATTCTCATGGTAAAAAAAACTTCTTCTCTGTATCTAACCTGAACTGATGCTCATTCAGTTTAAAACCATCACCCCATGTCCTGTCTCAACAGTTCCCAAGGGTCCCACTGGACTGGAGTCTGACCACAAAGCCATTTCTCTCCCCACCAGCTGGGAGCTCGGCACACGACACAAAAAGAAATGGTGCCTGGTCTGGGTGGAACACAAAACCCACTTGGACAGTACCTTCCACTGACAGAAATCTGCACAAGCACCCTCTGTACACCTTCATTTCCCCAGAAGACACTACACAGTTGAAGCTGTGCATACCCAGTTGGTAACAGACCCCACTGGGGGAAGCAACTTTCCAGGAGGCAGAGATGAACCACTCCAACACCCTCAAACACCAGCAATGTTCAACTGAGCCTGAATTTTTTCAGGGTCAGAATTAGCCAGCGTTACAAGCATCTGGATCCTAAAATCCAATTAAAAGCCATTGTGTTGTACCTTGGGCATTACCACTCCTGTGAAACATCACAACCCACCACTATCAGTTTCTGCTGGCCTCACGTAGCACAAACACGTGATCTGCTGCTGCTAAATGTTCTCAGAATACATGTGACAGCTTAACTAAAATTTTTAAGTTGACCTCCCTGCCAGAAATCATCGTATCAACATGAAAAAGAAAATACCGGTTCTACTAAATCCAAATTGCGTCACAGCGACATTAAAGAGGAGAGCTTCAGTCTTGATTTTCAGAAGATACCTTGAATATTCCAACCACAGCAGCCCTACTGTTTCAGAGGACATAGGTCTTGAACTGCACAATACCCCCTCACAAAGCAAAAAATGAAAAGGAATTTTCTTGAGAGAGTGGGAATGCATATGTTAATAAAAGTGTACAGTCATTTCTTCACCTAAAACACAAAGCAGCCTGTCACACTCAGCAGCAGCAGCTGCACAGAGCCACTTCTGGGAAAGCCCAGAATCAGAAAGGCTCAGGTACTGTAAAGTGCCAGCTCCATAATTCTAAATAAAAAAGCATTTCACTTACCATGCAGATATTCCTGATTTTACTTCCCTCATGGGTGTTCACTAGGCGACCTCCAACGCTACTGCACGTGGTTCAGAGCCTGAACACAACCTCGCTGTCCTGGTGTGTTGTCTGTAATGTGACACACCTGTGTGCTGCAAGCCACCTGTTTCTGTGTGCTGAGACCATGAACGTGCACAGTCCCAGGTGTTTTGTCCAGGGTAATTACAGGGGCACTTTAGGGAATCTCAGAATCTCAGACTGCTTTAGGTGGGTACAGAGTTTAAATCTCATCCAGTCCCAACCCCCGGTCATGGGCATGGACACCTTCCACAGGCACAGGGATACAAAGTCCTGGCCTCTAGTAAAACTGTTTCTATGCTCTTAAAAACATTCTTGCAAGTGTTAATCTGTGACCTCCTAAATTATTAAACTGTGCCAAACTGGCTTAAAAAGTTTCTAAAGTCACAGAAACCATGATACACAACAGACAAAGCTGGGGATCAGGGCAGATCTCTGTTTTGTAGTCTACCAAAGGCTTGACAGAACTGTAACAAAGCAAAAGGAAAGTGTTAAAATTATGTGCCCCATTATTTCTAATAAGAAACCACAGCAAGTGCCAGTCCTGTAACAAAAGTAAATCAAGGCAGGATTTGAAAGTTCAATTAAAGACATTTCTCACTTGCAGCAGCCCAGTTTGGCACACTATTACCAGAGAAATCATAGATTTCTTGCGTGCATTTCTAGTCTGTTACACATACATATGCATATATGTATTTACATATGTGTATACATATATAGAGCTGTTAAAAATCTGTTAGGCATTTGCAATTCTAAAATCCCTCAGACAGGCTTTCTGCATCTGTGCAACCTTGGCTGATGCACGAGACTGACAGCCACAAATATTTTATGAACCTAGACTGGGGCCTGAAGCAAAGAGGCACTGAGCTCTGTCTGGAAGGGTTTGCACAGGGCCAGGGGAAGGATTTGGCAGGGATAACACTCAGGGGAGTCAAACATGGCATTACCTGATCTGGAACACAGTCTCCATGAGGTCCCACATCCTCTCGCAGCAGAGGTGTCTGCAACAAAACAATTTCCAAGTCAGGCTTAACTGGAGCAAGAATTCAAACTGAGAAAATTTAAAGGATATTGCCTCTGTGGAACCGTGAGAAGTTACTGATCAGGAGTTCTTGCAATGCTATTTAATCCAAGCTTCAAATATTCATTTTTTGAGACAAGCCCCTTGTAAGTTCAACTATAACATCTAGCAGGAATATTTATAGTGTAACTTAACTACAACATCTAGGAATAATAGCTATCATCCGGGCAAATCCCAGTCTTCACTGATCCTGTCCATGCACATGTTTTAATGCCCACTTTTGCAGTGACATTTCCTGATATTTAGGAATCATTACTATTTATTTAGTTTCTGATCTACATATGCATTTGATCACCTTTCTTAATAGGAGCCAGTTTGGAAGGCATCAATTCTGTTCCTTCTGCTGAAATATGGCTTTGGTGTTAAAACCTGACTACCCTGAATGACTGAGATCTCATGCCTCGGGTCCTCCTTCTCCATGGAGCCTGCCTGGAGGGAAATACAACACAAGGATGGAATCCCCTGTGAGGCAGGGTGACTGGGGACCCACATCCTGCTCTGGGACACACCAGAACACGTGACCATGACCTTCTCAGGTTTCCAGCCTTACTGACAGGGAGAATTTATGATCCAAATTTTACGTTCCAAAGCATTGCCGCTGCAATTCAGAAAGCCACCTCCTCCAGCTGCCCCAGCCACAGCTCCAGCTGTGCATCCCAAAGGTCCCAAAGCCACCTCCTCCAGCTGCCCCAGCCACAGCTCCAGCTGTGCATCCCAAAGCCACCTCCTCCAGCTGCCCCAGCCACAGCTCCAGCAGTGCATCCCAAAGGTCCCAAAGCCTTTTTGGCTGTGATAACCCCGTTAAATTTGAGCTGTGCTTGCCCCCAGTGACTTGCCATTTGATTTCCAAACCTGCACTGAAAGCTTTTCTTGGCATGAGCCGTGTAAGAAGAAGATCCCAGCACCAAGGCTGCCAAAGATTGCCAGACTGTACGTGAAACCCAAGCACTCCATAAAAGACAATGCCTCTCATTTCTCCTTCATGGTGCATTAAAACTGGGAATATTAAACTGCACAACCATATTTAATTGTTTTAAAGCCACTATTAATCTAGCAGGTTGTTAAATGAAGAAATATAGCACACCTATTATTTTTAACAAAGCAGAGCAAGATTTATGGTCAAGATTTAACCACAAGACACAGGAAACTGGATTGAGAAATGTGAGGTGTGAAAATTATAGTTGAAAAACACATTGTGAAAAATCAAAATGAAAAGAAGCAGTGTTTGTGAATTTTGTATAATTAGCACATGCCATAAAATTGTTCCTACTCTGAGGTGACGAGCTTTAAAACTATGTGTGCCAAATAAAGTGCAATTAAACCTACCCTGAATCTTCAATAAAATGATAATCCTGTTCCATGTCTAGGTTAACAGTTGTATTTGATGATTCAAAGGTCTTTTTCAACCCAAACAATTCTGGGATTCTATGTTCATTTCCAGCTGGCTTCACCAGCTCAACACTATTCCTTTGTAACTTAAAAAGTGCTTTGGTTTTAGTCACATTCTTAGAGAAGTTTTTGGGGAGGGGGATGACTGCAGAGAAAGAAAGGGAATATATTTTCAGTGGTTGCTTTTCTGTCATTGATTCACACAAAACACATTTCCATACGGAGGGAGGGAGGGCGGGAGGGAGAAAGGGAAGGAGGTTGCACACTTCAGCACTCCCTTACCTTTCAAATGCAATGAAAATCAACTTGCTTGGCATGACTCCCTAAACCCAGAAAAGGCAAGAGCTGCACCACAAAAATGAAAAATGAAAAGTAAAAATCAGTAATATCCTGTTGAAAATCAGTTCCCTAAGCAAGTCAATGAGAATGGCTGATTCAGCTCCAAATCACAGCTCCTTACTCCAAGGAGCTCCGATGTTACCTGATTACCCCACAGAACACTCCAAATCCATGCTGTCAGTAGTTTTTGTCACTTCTATTTCCTTGAATTCGTTCCAGAAGCTCGTTCCACGACACGAGCACAAGCGCAGCCAGCAGCGCCTTCGGTCAGCATTTGAGCGAGCAGCTGGATCCCAAGGGACAGCGCTGCTCCTGGCAGCTGCCAGCTGCTCCCAGGGCACGCTGAGCAGGACCAGGGGAAGGTGCATCCAGCCTAACCATAACCCCACACATCACATTTTACTGTATCAGTGCCTGTGAAGAGAACAGACAAACAGTTGATGCCACTATCTTTCCACTAAATGCATCTTGGCACTACAGCTGCAACCCTGCCAAGGATGCCAGGACAGAGACCCCCAGCTCTCTTAGCCCTCCTGAAAATCCTGCCCAGGAGCTCTGTACACGCATCCTTCCAATTCACACGCTTCCTGAGAAAGTGTACAGGCAGTCAAGAAATAGCACTTTGCCTTCAATTTGCTGGGACACTTCCAAATCGCTTCCATTTCCAGAAGGAATTAAAACAGGTGCTTTGTCTCTGCAAAGCAGCTTAGGCTGAAGTCCTGATACCACTTGTTGCTCTCACATGGGGCCATGGTCATTAAATATTTCAGCCAAATCAACAGTAAGCTGAGAGGAGAGAGTGGCAAGTTTAGCAGATAAACCCCTGCCTGTCCCGAGTCCCCTTCTCCCGAGGGTGCTCCAGCTGCTTTAAGGGCTCAGCAGAAGCACAGGGCACAATCCCAAATACTGTTTAAAAAACAGAAGCTTAAATGAAAATGAGAACTGAGCTTCTGACCTTACCTAGGGTCATCTCACCACGTCACGGCCGGGGTTATTTCCAGGGCAGCATGTGAGAGCTTTCACTGCAGCAGCTTCAATAGGACTTTGCCTGTGGATTAATGGATGACTTTGGCTTCTCTTTCTTACCAGCCTTTACAATTCAGGAGAACACACAGAGGATTTCTTCTGCAGCAGCTGAGTAGAAAGACAAAAGTGAGCTAACCTCCTGACCTGCAAAATAACCTCATGGAGAAATCCATTCAACAGAGCAGCTTGCTGTTCCTGGGAAAAGGAAAAGCAGAGGAAACAATACCTTGGATGCTGCTTAAGAGGGGAAACGACCACAGCAATATTTTTGCTCAACTTCTAGGCAACTTTTAAGAAAACTAGAAGCAGCAGGAACTTCCAGTCCTATGCACCAAAGGAGGAAAAGGGAGACCTTGTGCAGACAAACACACACGTGTTTGGCTTCGAGTGTATAAATGTACCTAGAAATGCCAGTGGAGTTAAAGGAGGCTGCCCTGAGAGCTCCAGTTCCAGGATGTGACACAGCCCTGGCATTTTCCAGGGCTGAGCTATGGCACAGGGCCTGCAGCTCCAGAAACCCCTGGGACAGCACAGGCTGGCCAAACGTCCTGATCTGCATTTCAAAAAGGACCACAACACTACATCTGGTATTATTTTAGGATTTCATTTACATTCCAGCCTGTTTGCAACACATTGCAGGATAATACCTGAAATTCACCTCAAGTTTGCGGTGTAGTTACACAGAAGTAAGCACGCACATGAAACCAAGTGGGGAAATATGTATAAAGATGTTTTTCTTAGTTGTTTCCTGCTTCTTTTCTGTTGGTTAGTCAAGGTCATCAGTGTTTATGACTTCAAAGACAGTAGACAAGCATACATACATACCATGCTGTTGTAGAGGCATGATTAAAATCCATTTTAAAAGCTAAGCCCTGAATTTCAAAGCTGAAGACAGCTTCTATTGAAATTCCTCACTTCAATGGGGGTGGATCTATGTCCTAGCTCCCCACTCTTTTGGAGGTTTTATACTGCACTTTCACTTTTGAGTGATAACTATATGGAGAAATACTTCAAAAATACAGTTATTTATCAATTTATTTGGTTTGCATACCTTTGCCCAGACTGGAATATTCAGTATTAATGACCCCTGGCTCCAGGAGGTGCCATACAGTTGTCCCAGCAACACAACATTTCACTTAGAAAACAATTAAAAACTGCAAAGCATCTGATGACTAAGAAACACTCAGGTTTCCTTCTGTCCAATATAGTTTCTGACAGGACACACACTGTCAAGATCAGCATAATTAAAGCATTTCAATCTTTCCTCTTTCCATTTTATTTCCCAAATGAAATCGTGGCACATTTTGCAAAGTCTAACCAGTAATACTATTTTCCCTCAAAGCCAAAGCCTCATTCCTCAGGGTTATGCTTTCCTAGGCTTGACCTGCATTTCTTCCCAGCAGCTTCATTTAAGCTCAGTTTAAATTCAGAGAGCTCCCAGAGCAGCTAGAAGCAAGAGACTGCAGTTTTAAATTGTCTGGTCTCAGCAGTCTGCTCTCTTCTCACGTTCTTTATTTCTCCACCCTGCAGGGAAAAGCAGGAGAGAAGAATGGGAAGAAAAGCAAGTGCCCAAGTAGAAATGGAGCCTGATCCTTGCAGGTTGCTATCACATGCATGTGAGCCCTCACTGGGACTTTTCCTTGTGAAAAGGCTTTTCCTTGAGCCTCAAGTTGTGTGCAGTGTCACATATTTGCAGAGGCTCTGATACCTGTGTGAGTTTAATCGACTGGGCAGAGTTCAGCCGATGAACTCAGAAGTTATTGAGGAACAACCACGAGCCCAGGGCCCCAAGCATTCTGCTGCTTTCAGTGACTTGAAGTAATCATGACCCAAGTATAATTAAAGCATAGTCCTTACCTGCATTTCTTAACTGTTCCAGCTTTAATGTGGAATCTTTGCCCTCCCACGGTCCTTCTGCACCTTGCCCTCAGCCTCCCACTCTGTGCAGCTGGTTTTGACTTCAGGACAAGGTACAGGATGAGGTACAAAACTCAAGTGTAGCATTCAGCCTCAAATGGAAAGTTCATCATCTGAGGCAATTCAAGCCAAATTTAAAATATCTGTAACTGCTAGCACCTGTTTGCTTCATTCCCTGCCAGCATCCTTCACCTGGTTATCCCATGTCAGAGCCTGAGGAAGAGTCCCATGTCCTTCATTTAAATATTCATATAATTAGACTTTGTAACCCTGGATTCTTATTAGCAAAGAACTGCATTTTAGAGAAAAAAATATCTATTTTCATTTCAAATGAAGAAAGGACTTAGCCTATCACTATTCAGTGTAAATAAAATGGCTCTAATTTAATGACTCTCCTAGAGTGCCGTGTAGCATGAAACTTTTTTCTAGTCCCTTAATTTACTACTTGCTGCCTTGCTGCTTTGTGGAAGAGACACTTGACACCAGAGTCTTTTCACAGGCTTCATTCTACACACAACTGAAACTTGAACTGAGCACAGGAGAAAGAGGGAATTCAAACCCTGGGCAAGGTGAGTGGCAGCTTACAGCTTTTGGGCTCTACATTCAAACCAGAAACACAGTGTAGTTCAGCTCTGGTACACAGGCTGATTCCTTTCACTTCCAGCTTACACTTGGGTCTTGTTTCCCCAGTGTGACAGTGGCAGAGTGGACTTGGCTGAAGGGAATTGTCCAGCTTCAGCTGCTGGAGCAGGTGCAGGTGAGCCAACCAGGGCAGTGCAAAAAAACCCAGAGGTGATGGAAAAAAGGAGCAAGAAGATAAGGAGTATCAGCCAGCCAGGTAAGGGAAGGAGAGAGGTAAGTGTGTCACTTCACCTGGCAGGAGGTGAGGCTAGGTGCTCACTCAGCCAGGAAAAAGAGCAGAAGTTGCCACTTCTGAGTGCTAGGCACTGCTTCCTGGTGTGTCCTTTCATTCCACAGCAGAGCAGAGATCTTACCTGGAAACACCACAGGAGCAGGTGACGTAAAACTTCCTTGTGGGTATCAAAAACCAAATCAAGTGCCTCTCAGTCATCCTCAGACCCATAGCAAATGAGGAAGTTCCCTGTGAAGGATGAAGCCATCCTTCAGCCCCATAGGATATGGTGTTTCTAATTGGCCTACAAGAAATACAGGAGCTGATTTTCCATTTTCTTTACTAAAAACAAAAATACTTCCCAAACTTTAGGCTCACACATTATAACTTATTTAAACCTTCTTCTTGAAACCTTCTAGGGAAAGCTGAAAAAACAATCACACTAGAATAGAACACTAAAACTTGACTAAAATCTCAGCCTCTTTTGGTCATTCTCAAGAATTTTTACCTTGCTTTGGGCTGGCAACAGGCAAATGTTCTGGTAACACCACTTTCATCTTCTGCAGTAGATTAACTCCTTGTCCTTTGCAGGCTTTACTGAATCTAACACCTTACAGACAAATACAATAAAAAGAGCAGAATTGTATCTATTTTCCTTTACAGCTCCATAAAGGTCTGTAGTACACGTGATTTAAACAGCAAAACCACTCATCAGCTCAGGTCATTTAAAAGGCTTTTAAGTGCTGGACCAAGTTTGTAGGAAAGCTTTCCTATGCTGCAATCTGGCTGTAACTCCTGAGTTCAGGAATGGCATGTGGGGATGATTTAAAGTTACCTTTCTCCATTGCCCGTGCCAGCAGTGAGCTGTCCCCTCTGATAAGGGGCAGAGTGGAAAGAAATCAGTAACTCCTTAAAATCACCCCAGTGGGAGCTGCCAGAGGTCAGGAATCCCAGCCCTGCTGCTACTGAAGCCCTTCATTTACTGTCCAGTGTTCTATGTGTGAAGTGATTGAGTGGTTGCTCTGTTCTGCCTGCTAGGTCACCTTTCTATATTTATCACATCACCGTATAAAACACCACAGTGTGCCTCACGGATGGGAGGCTCCACATAAAATTAAACCCTACCTTCAATCTTCCTGAAAAAGCAGCCCACTCCCCAGTTCTGAAAAGAGAACTGCTTTTCCCCTCTCTGCTCAAGAATTCCACTAGGCAAAAACATCTCAAAGGCTCAAAGAGAGCTCTGAGGACAAGAAAGAAAGGGAAACATTCTGGGCTGACAATCACCTTTGATTTGTACAATATTTGTCCTTTTTTTGTCCAAAACATCCTCTAAAACAGTTGGAGGATGAGAGGTGCCTTTATTCTGAGTCACTGGAAGCAAAAGTGAGCCCCCTTGGTGGGTCCAGCCCAAGGACCATTGCAGGCAACAGAGGCTGAGAACTGCCTGGGTTTTGACTTGCTCCTCTTGATGGTTCTAAGTGCTGACAGCACAGGATGCTTTATTCCCATTTTTATTTATGCTATAATATCACTCCCAGCCTTTCTTCTTTGCATTTCCTTCATCCCAGCTTCCACTGATGTGCCCCATCTGTGCTGGGACTGCCCATCCTGCCTGAGTCAACAGCACAGCTCTGCTCTTCTCCAGGCTCCTTCTCCAAACAGAAACATATTTAGATTCATCCCACTCTGTCTATTCCAAAGCACTCACATTTTTATCCAGTGATACAGAAAAAAGGAGAGATCTTTAGTATAAACTGGTGTAGTTCCTTGGAAGTCATGGAGTTGCTACCAGGCACCAAGAGATAAGAGGTTTTTAGCCTAAAATACAGACTAAAATAAAGGATATTGTTGCAGCAAGAAGAAACAAAAGGAAGAGGCACCGAGTGAAAAGTAGGAAAGGAGACTCTTCAGACAGTTAAAAAACACAGAGCCCAAGCTAAAGCCTCTGGAAAATGTTCTACTGGTCTGTGAAAATCCTTATCAAAGGACCCTTGGTTTTCTTGGTCTGACTGATAAGCTAAGCAACCTTTCACTTCTTGTTTAAAGGAATCTCAATTTAAAGTAAGCTCCTTTCCTGCCAGGGAAGCTACTTTTGGGTTCCTTGCCAGGAAAGGCTGTTCACTTTCACACAATACCACTGAAACTTTGTTATTTTGCATGGAGGAAGCCTTTTTTCCCTTTAAGACATTCCAATTAACCCCTTTCCACGCTGCTGCCAACATTAAAGTCTAAAGTTAGGGGGAAAAGATCACTCTCTCTCACTTCCCAGATTTATCTAAGAACCAAGGGAGTGAAGATCTGTCACTACAGGCTATATCCTGAGGCTCTTCCTCTTTACAACTGCTACCATTTATTAGACAAAAACATACTAAGATCTCCTGAAAATGGATTGACAGTAAATGATGGAAAATCACAAATAACTGGGATTTTTTTTCCTTTCAAAATTACTTTTGTGTGTGTGTGTGTGTACATATGTGCTTCCTTAATGTGTTTTGATTGTCCAATTCTAATAAAATTTGGCAAATAGGTAGAGATCTCCAAGATGCAGTTTCCTTGTTAAGAAGCCTTTGTTCCTGCAAATTTTGCAGTCTGAGCAGTAGGTTAAGGAGAAGACTATCCAAGTGGCCTAAAAGAAAAGTTGCAACATCAGCCTCAGAGGGAAAAAATCCTTCAAAATACATCAAGGAAATAGTCTAATAAATTACTTCTTCCATTATATAACTTAGATCTTTACCTTTAATTGAAGCAATGTCATCACATGCACAGGAACATTTCCTAAGTGAAAAATACAAAGATTTGGTTTTGATGCACAGCTACATGTTGAATAATGATGCTGAATTAAATGCCAAAAGTGCTCAGTGTGACGTAGCTAGACCAGATTATCCCCAAAATGCTTGTCAGAACATTTCCTTAAATCCAGTGCTACAGTAGAACACTTAAGCATGTGAAGAACCTGAAATATCTATAATCCCATAAAAGTTCTCTTTTTTTTTAGCTTCTCAGGTGCTTCACAGGGAGATTTGTGTGCAAATCATTTGAATTCAAAGTGCAAATAAGCAGAAAATGGGAAAAAAATTATTTAACTGTTAACCATTTTTAAAGATGCTGCCTTAAAGATACAAAGGGTTTGAGATCAAGCAAAACAAACAGAACTCAAGGTTTCTGCCCAGCATCTGACACCTGCCAGATGTGAAGGTGAGGGCTAGACCAGCAAACAACACTGACAAACCCAGGATCCATGAGGTTGTCCAGGTGCTTCAGGACTGAATTACCTGCTCTGAAAAGAAAAAGGCTCCTCCATCAGCTTTGTAGATGCAGGAAAGCAAAACAAATACTAATAACAACCCTGTTTAGTTTTTTATAAAAAATTATCCCAAGAGCAAAACTATGGGGAAAATGCCCATCAAATTCTTACTGACTTTATGCACTGTCCTAGGGACTGCCTAATTAATCTGGGGGTCCAAACTGATCAGCTCCTTTTTAATAATGTCTTTGATATTTCTTCAGCTTCTTTTTTGAGTTTTAATACTGGTTAAAATTATTTCATAGAATTGAATTCAAGTTTAGGCTTACAATCTAGCAAGAAGGAGCAGAAAGAAAAATTAAATCTAAGCCTGCATGTCCAGAAGTGGCACATTTTAATATTATACTGCCTAAAGTTCTGAGAAAGGGTACAGCCACCTTCCCAGAAAATTACTTTTCATCATGTAAAAGCAAAGCTGGCTTGCTCTTTCTGCACCAGTACAATAAGCTCTGCCCTTTCAGACAGGATACTCTGGGTATAAACCCAGTGCTGGGTGAAGTCCAAGCCATGAAAAAGGTTCTAGCACAAGAAATTTGGTGCTAAGACAGTGACTTGAAAATCTTGAGTTGAAAACACTGGTTTTTGTGCAGTGCCTAATGGCTGTGACTGAAGGAGTCTTGGTAGGCCTGATTTTTGAAGATGAAACTTTACAGTTTCCCATTTAAAGGGACACAGAAAGGTGCTGGGCTGGTACTGTCTTTAAAATAGGTATGTAGAAATCAGAGTCTGACTTTATTATCCAATAGTCTCTACTTCTCACCAAAGTGAAGATTATTTCAAGTACATGATTTCAAATGGGGAGGTGATGCAGCTGTTTCTGCCCTTTGGAGCCATACAGACACTCAATTAGCAGGGCACACAGAGCCATAGGGAGGCTGGAACAGTGCCAATACAGCAGCAGTGGAGGGCTGGCGGTGGGCTGGAATTAGATAGGGATAGCTGTCTAAAGCTGGAAGAAGCAAACAAAAGAAAAAGCAGTATCTTGTCAAAGCGTTAAGAATCTTGAACCTCAGGTTATTTGTTTCAGTGAAGGAGGCAAAAACCTTGCAGTCAGAGGCTTGGCTCCCTCCTCAGCGCTGCAGTCCCAAATCAGCAACTCCCTCTCTCCCTGTTCCTCTCTCACCTTCTTCCTACTTGGCTCAGCAGCCCTAGCGTTCCAAGGATGACCTGCTGACATGCTTCCCACACCACAGACTGGCAAACCACAAAGTGTCTGGATGCATGAGTGAGACACTGAGACTCTTACCTGCTGCCTTGCTCCTGTCTGTGCCAGCCACCACAGAGCCATTTCTCTGGAATTCACCAGCCCAGGAGCTGTTCTGCCATGGTGGGAACGCTGCTTGGCAGCACTTCTGCGCCTCTTGACTCACACGATGCTTTTGGCTCATTTTCCATCATTTCCTTCAGCTACAGAGGAAAGAAGCAAATTGTTAAAGAGCAAAAACAGCTGTAAAAAATGCCACTCAATGATGTAAGCCATGAAATCTCTGTTCTAGGAAGAGGCAACATGCATGTTTCCAGGCACATAAAAGATCCAGAACATGCAGCACCAGAGAGGAAATTAACTCATGTTCATCAGAAATCGACTTTGACAGCTCAAAGGTACTTGATTGACATTAAACCATGCATGAAGAAGGTGATAGGTGATTCTTCATCCTGCAAGCCCAGCTGACATCTCTGTGCAAGGTTCTGCATGAAAAGACCAGACACAACCCCACAAAAATTACAGGGAAAAGATTAAAAAGAAAGAAAATGTAATTGGAAGTGCACAGAATTTAAGTTTCATCCAATGCTGGCCCATTTGCATAACAGCCCAAATCTCCACATCTGTTTGGTTTTCCAGTTCCTGTTCCTTTTTTTTTTTTTTAATAGAACAGTCACTGGAAGTTCACATGCACAGGCTACTGAATAAAAGCAAATGACATCCAGGTCAACTTACATTCCCAGAAACACACAGGCAGCTCATTGCTCTGCAGCTGCTTCCAGTGGCTTGGCAGGGCAGGTCTGGGAACAAGAGAGCTGTCACCAGCACAAGCAGGGTGACATCTCACATTCATGTAGCACCACACCATCCAAAGGTAAGCGACTCCCAGAGTGATCTAATAAACTCAAGAGTGAGGGGATGCATCCTTCTGATACATCCTTGCTCCTTCTGACATCAGAGCTCTGACTGCCAGCAGGGCTGAGGGGAACAGTGACACAGGGGACATCACTGCTCAACTCTGCAGGCGGAAAATCTTTTAAATCTTGCACATACTTCAGAAGAATAATTTGTTTGAGGAAGTGGCCTTCAAATAAAACATGGATTTACACAAACTGAAATCATCCAGCATTCCAGGCAGCTGCCTCAGGGCATCTTCGAGGTGCTTGCGTTTGCAAAGGCCCTTTGTAATCCCCTCCCAAGTTTCATCTGTTATCATCCCACCCGGCTCTCCTGGCCATCTCCTCTTCCCAGTGAAGGGATGAAGGCCCTGTGCACGGTGAGCAAAGAGCTCAACACACAGAAAACACTGCCCCTAACCCCCCCAGAGTGCTCTGCCTGCTCACCCTAACAAATCCAGATGTTGCTGTCGGAGCCTGGCCTCGCTGTGCACAGCAGCTCTGTTACTGCTTTAGCTGTGGTTTGCTGTTTGGAACTGGGAAGAGATCACTCTGAGGAATGCAGTTTAAACGAAGACTCTGCATTTTAAGTGGACGTCTCTGTTTGGAAAGCAAAGCTTCAGGAAACAAGGAAAGGCACAGAATGGAGAACTTCAGAGGGTTGCATCGATCAGACTGCAGGAAGGAGCAGCACATCTGAAAATAGCCAAAGCAGAGTCAATAGGAAACCTCCTTGAGCTGTTTGACATTGTGGTCTGGTCCTGGAGCCAGGGGATAAACCCCAGGGCTGGGAATGCATCATCCAAACTCTGACCCCCGCTAGATACAATGACTTGAACAATGCAAATTGGCAGATTTAATCTCAGATAGTTTTGCATGAGATGGGGATTCATAGTTCATTACATATTCATAATGAGAGGGCTTTGCTTTCTCAAAGGCACAATAATTATCAGCTTCAAGCAGCTCTTGCATTGAGAAATGCTATTTAACTCACTTGACAGCTGCTGCATTCATTCACAAAAAGACACTATTACATTTATCTGCACCTTTGCTCCTCCCTGTACATCACTTCATTCAGTCCCTTCCAGAGACACCCATTTTTAGGACAGCATTTCCAGCATGACATAGAATTGAAGAAACTTCTCCATTAACTCCTTATGGTTTAATAAGTAAATAACTTCTGTATAAAACAGCCCTGAGAGAAAACACAATGAACTTACTTTTCTAGAAATGTCAGACCCAGAGGGAAAAAAAATTACTATCATTATTATAGCTACTGGGCATGAACAATACTGTTTATTAGTAAAAACTGCACAGCAAAAGGAACATAACTAAAGGAGTGTCCTGCAAAAAAGGTCTTCTACCTGATCCCAGAATCAGATACAACAGCTGGCTAATGCACAGAAAGCTTTATGTAGCTACCAGTGCTGCTTTCTTCAGGAAGGACTGAGTACCCAGATACCCTCAGCTGGCATGGGGGAATTCAAGAGAAAACCTGGATTCACTTATGCCTTAGGAAGAGCTGGATGTTCCCTGAAGACTCTGGCAGCTAAGAGGTGAAAATTACTTCTGAGACGAGCACTTTGCAAGTGGCCACCCAGGAGAAAAAACAAAGCAGCGGCAAGAAAGGACAGAATGAGCAAATCAAGAAGTAAAACACACCTTCCTAATTTTGAAGATAAGAAATGAGCTTTCCGTGTTAAATCCAGAACTGAAAGATTGCTCCATCCAGCAATCCTGCATGGAAAGTCATTTGACCTTGCAAGTTTCGAAAGGATCAGTTACCTTTGCAGCTTTCTGTGCAGCTCTTTACGGGGCTCAGGACCCCAGTAACCCAGCAGCTGGATGCCATCAGCACGTGCTCTATGTAAAACAGCCCAAAGCAGAGGGGCAAACCCCACTTCACTGGGAGGGAAGGAGGTGCCACGAGCCTTCCACAGACGGCCAGGGTTCCGCTGCACGGGAATCGGCTCCAGCACCGCTGCAGCCCCACACGAGCCCTGCCAGTAACACAGCACCGTTCCCAAGTGCTCATCGGTGTCACAAACGGGAACCAACAGCAAGGAGCAACTGAGAACAGCAGCTTTCAGCAACAAGAAGGGGACTGCTTTGATTTACAGCTGTATAACTTATGGCCACATCTGGGAATGTCACGGGGAAGGAAATGCCGCTTGATGCTTTTACAATTAAAGCAGACAATGCAGAGATAGTTTACACAAAGTGACTATTTTTTCTCGGGAACATGCACCTAAAACCTTGGGCCAGAATATGTTCAAAATGACAGTTCTGATTGCTTTGGACCTTCATTTCCTTGCTCTCCATCCTCCTGAGTGGCTCACAACAGAGACTAAGGTATGAACTTTAATTCCCATTGCTCACCTGAAGGAAATTATTACAGGAAGAAAAGCAAGTCTTTTCTGTCAGAAATGATAATGAGAATTTTTATCTATCTGAAAATACCTTACACATGCTAAGCAAAGCCAGAACAGTTTCTGCTGTTAGTTAGGCATTTTGTTTAAATTATATTCTGAATATACAGCTGGCAGAGACAGCACTTGGCTGCTCTCTGTCCTGGTTACAAGGCAAGGGAAGCCAGACAGACACGGGTCCTTAAATTCTGGCAGGTTTTGGGAGAATGCCAGATCCACTGAAGCAGTTTGAGCTGCTAGGACAGAATTCATGCTTCTCATTAGGATAATTCACTCTAATAGGCCTCCAAAGGCTTTCCATTTTTGGCAATGTTCTTTTAACGAGGCTCAAGTTGGATCTGTACATCTTACATGGTAAATTTTAAATAAATTCATTTGAAATAAACACCCCATACAGAAATCTTGGTGATCTTCAGAAAAAGTGAGTTAAATCAATCAGCTGAAAAATCTATACTAATACAATAAAAAAAAAGGGAACAATTTCAGATGAAGGAGAAATGTTGTCCTAAGGAAGGTTCCTTTTGCAACCTGGCAAAGCATCATCTATTTCAGCTGGATGCTCCTCCTGGGAGGACACAGAGCTGTGCTGAAATGACATAACTGGGGATTTCACTCTGGATGTATTGCTCACTCTGACATCTACACAGAAAATCCGTGCCACTGCTCTCACACAGAAGATCTCATCAGCTTGAGGAAGGCAAGGGAAAGCTGCAAGTTTCAAAGCTGAAACTACAGCACTAAAAATCATTCCAGGCTTAACCAATGAACTTTCCTACTTCCCTAGGAAGGGAGTGTAAAAGCAGAGAATAGCAAGGGAAAAACAAATAGACTGAATACTGAGTGTCAGAGATACTCAGAAATTAAGTATTTTGAAACTTGGATACAAAATGAAACAAAAGAAGTCCATAGAAAAATAAAATCAGGAGAAAGGCAGCTGGTATTTCCCAAAGTTCTCCCACTGAAATTATATAAAATGGAACATATTCAAATGTCTGAACAGCCCCTAGAGCTGGGATTTCCTTAATTCTGACTTCATTTCCCTTAAACAAAGGTATTATCTCAGCAACTCCACACCAAAATAAGACAGAGATGTCAGAAACAATTTAAGTGCTCCTGTACCATGATGAAGACTCTGAAATATGAGATGCTTCTCCCAGAGTCTACCTGGGGCAATATCAGACTACTGGCAGGTTGGAATGTCAATGGCCATAGTGGACTTTCCTCACCCTCATTAAATTGGAAAAGGCTTGCTTGCTCTTAGAGATACATTAAGTTGTGTTTAGCTGCCACTTACCCAGTGTAAATGGACTATTTAATGCAAAATTCATAGCTCACACAGATAGATGAGCCTGATGGTTTCAGTGCTGCGAGCTCCAGTAAGTTCTGGATCTTTCTCAAATCCCCTGACCTTCTCCACATGCACCGAGCTCAGTTTTACCCCAGGTGCCTTGGCAAATGAGCGTTCCAAAGGCAGAGAGCAGCATCAACACACACTTCACTGAGGTGGGGCAGCTTCTCTGCTCCTGCCTCTTCCTTGACACCAGACACAGCCATTGATCTGCTCTCCTTTCTGGTGCCAGCTGTGACTTTTCTCTTAGGCTAAAAGAGAAGCTATTCTTCCCCATTCTAATCCTGTCCCCCAGCATCAGGTCAGAACAAAGGGAAGAAGCAGTGACAGTCCCAAAAATCTGTTTTTCTCCCAAAGAAGGCACAAACAGAAAATGGATGTTTTCTGCTGGGGAAGGACATGAGACAGTGCAGAGTGGACTGTCTTTGGAAGGACTGAGGATGGAAAGGGATGAAGACTGAAGTGCTCTTGCTGTCCCACATGAAATAACCACTCTGCAATGTAATGTGGAAAGGGGCTTCTGTCCCAAG